TTCTTAGAAGCTTAAATCCCATAAAACATCAAGCTCAGTTTATTAAAATGATCTCTTCCTTCATACTTAGGTCTCTATTGCTCCTGATGGTGCAACCAGCAGTGCTCAAGATCCATCCAGTGTCGTTTCATCCTCTTCCCAGACGCCGTCCTCAACGTCCTCTTCTTCTTCTTCCACCTCTTCCTCTCCCTCCAGTCCAGAAAATACCTTTCACCGATCATCTCCTCTGCCTAAAGGACTCACTGAAGTTAATGCTGTCGATGGGGGCTCTTCTGTTTCTGAGAGTCAGCCCACCACTATTGGGCGCTTCACAGTGTCCACGAGCACCAGTGCGACATCTGAGCCAACCGCTGCCACTGGCTCTAAAGTGGGACGATTTTCAGTCACAGGTGTGCAGCAGGTTCACAAAAAGTGTGAAATTAAGTAATAAATTATTTAACTACTGATGTTAATAATCCGTTATTTTAATCACACCAATTGATAGAGATTAACCTATTATAACAAAGTAATGACCTTTTATTTTTCATGTATTTATTTTTTTTTAACCCAGTGACCCCTGGTCCAGCAGCTAGCTCCAGTCCAACACATGACTGCAGCATGCAGAATGGACCATCATCCTCAACTTCTGATTCTCATGTCACACATCCACATTATAGTAGTGGGAATGATGATGACTCGGAGACTGATGATGAAGCCTTGCAAAAAGAAATCAGTCGTCTGAGGGAGAAGTATGTTACATATTTGTTGTCCTGTCTTATGTAAACTTTGCTTCACAGCTCAGGGGAAATTTGGCTTTAATTTTCTGTCTCTCCTCAGACACATGATGGAAATTCAGGCCTTGCAGGCTCGTCAGAAAGAGGAGATAGAGGGCCTGTTCACTCGCATGGGAAAAACTCCTCCTCCTTCTGTGCTCTCCCCTGCTGTGGCCATGCCTGGAGGACGACGAAGGCTAAAAAGCAAAAGTCACAAATCTGCTCGCAGTAGTGGACAGCCCAGCCCTGTACACTCAGGTAATATGATACACAATCTGTTTCTTGTTATGCGTCCTTTGTTTTTTCTTTTTTTGAGTATGTCAGTGTTCTCTTGTTTAAATATTGATTGTAATCTGTATTGTAATCTTCAGCTCAGAGCCAAGGTTCAGAGTCCCCTCCAAAGCAAAGTTCAGCCTCAGTAACAGAGACCTCAGAAATTGCAGCAGAGTCTGTAACACGGTCACAGCTCACATCCTCTCCATCCATGCCAAGCCTCAGCAATTGCTCCACAGGTATGTGCAACTCCAGCTTTTAACAGTCAGCTGCTTCATTTGAATTTTATGATGTAAACTGAATTTTCTAGTGCACATCTGATGCATCTTGTCTATATATTTAGGATCAAGTGGGATTAGCTCCACAAATGGTTCAGGACACTTGCAGGCTGAGTGTTCTACCCTGTCCCAGGCCACTGGAGCCCCTCCTGCTGGCTCTAACACCCAGAAGGGTAAGGGGACCTTCACTGACGACCTGCACCAACTGGTGGATAACTGGGCCAGGGATGCCATCAGCCAATCCCAGGGGAAGAGAGGCCCTAAAACTGGAGCACAGGGAGGGTTGGGACTTGATGTAAGCATTTGGTATTCTTTGAATGTTTAAAAAAAAGTCAAAGTATTTCATGACTGTGTTTTAATGTTTGCTTTTTTTAGTACTAATCGTGCATATTGAACAATAACAATTTTTCTTTAACAATGCAGATCATCCCTCCAGCCAACATTGGCCGTAAATTCTCAGCTCCAGGCTATCTCGGCCCACCACATTCCAACACCACGTCCACTCACCTCCCCAACCCAACCAATCCCTCTGCTTCTTTGGGTCCTCGCAAAGGCTCCCTGGGTCCAGTTGCCCAGGGGTACGGATATACTTCAGTCTCGTACAGTGCTCCTCAGTGGGCAGGACCCACACCAACATGCCAGATGGTTAACCCGGGACAGCCACTAACACAGTACCAGCCATCTACAGCAACTCCAGTGTCTCTGCACCAAGGTTACCAAGTGGGAACTACATCAGCCCCCCAGAAATCAGTCAACCCTGGAGGGTCCAACCTGAGGCCTACGTAACCCAGTCTGAGCCCTGATTGAGGCTGAGATGAAGGGCCACACAGGGCAGAGGGGACCAGACAGTTGTAGACTGAGATCACAGCCTCTCTTTGTGGCTTACTGGCTAACTGGCTTGGTATTGTGCATTTTATTTTTAACTTTTATCATTGTGTATTTTTTTTTTCTTTAATAGCTGACCTGTGTGGTTCAAGTCCTCTCAGGCAGAACAAAGTCTGTCTGGCAATTGGAGGGAAAGTGCAATACACACCCACAGCACAAAAAGTCTCACACTTATCCTGCCATTAGCTGTGGAAACGAGCTGTGACGTATTGGCCCAAAGGCACAACGAACAGCAGCCAAAGATGTTGCTGGAGAGCCGATCTTTGAAGGGGAGAAGTTGGTGAGGGATTGTGGTTCATATCCTTATTTGTCTGGACTTTAAGCTGAGCTGGGACTTAAGATTGTTCCAGTAGTCCACCACAGAAATCTGTGTGCACACAGACAGACTATACATCGAACTCGTTGGGATTGGTTTGGAGGGTAGGTTAAGTTGTCTGTTAAGGAGGAGGAGAGAATGTGAGTCTACAGAGAGTGGGATAGTTGGTTTGTCCCTGATGGATAATTACTGTGAATGATGTTTAGGAGAAGAAAGACTTGGAAAGTTTGGAGTGTGATGGAGGGTAGCAGTACGAATACATCCCAATAAAAATGCAATAATAGCATAATCGACAAACTGCCCCTTGTAACTGTGGCCTTAATCTAAAAGAAACACATTGGCTTTGTACATAGACATTTCTTGACTGGGTTATGATTCTATGTTAAACATATTTATGTCTCTGTGAAAGTCTGGTGTTGTGTGACTCGAGTTGTCTATCATACTGATTTATTCATGCGAGTAGATCTGCGAGATAATAACACGTGGTCCTGATGTTGACCACCATTCAGAGAATTGAAGAGGTGATGCTGCTGTAGATCACAATCTGAGTATTAGGTGTTAGCAGGGTGACCCCCCCCCCCCCCCCCTTTTTTTTTTTTTTTTTTTTTTTTTTTTTTTTTGGTAAGGGACACATTAAACCACTTCACTTAGTGCTTAGCTGTGAGATATGTGCAGTTCATAATCTGCTTATCATATCATACAAAGTAAGAGTTTTGTCAGGATAGTATTTGAGGAGGGTTTCATACTCTTGAGGGGAGCGAGACCACTTCTTAATCCATTTTTCTTTTCTTAGATGGTGCACAGTACATGTATAAACAGCTTGTTACTGAACTCATACGTCCCAAAATATTTTTACCCATAACATCTAGCTGTGGCCTCTGAAATCACAAGTGTCTGGGGTTCTCTCTTTCTGTGGTCTGTTTTTTGTATGCGTATATTTAATAAACAACAACGTTCTTTATGGACTTGTATTCAGCCATCAGATTTTGATGTTGTTTCACTGTAATTATTATTAAAGGTTGTTAAACAACATGTAAAGGAATATTAAAAAAAGTGCAATTGCAGGGTTTGTTATTGGTATACTCACCATGCAGGAATAATCCTGCAGTTTATTAAGCTTGTCTCTTTATGACTGCCCTGCCCCCCTCCTTTTTTTTTTTTTCCGCTTTTTCTTTCTTTTTTTCTTATTGTAAATATAATTGTGAGGTAAATGCTTTCAGTTTGCTCTCACTAGAGTATGTTCGTTGTGACCCATTCTAAATGCACATGCACTCTAACCTGTAAACATGAGGAACACTTTAGTGCCTTGCATCCTCACTAATGAGAAGTTCCAGATCCATCCAGTCCTGTAGCTGTGACTGTATTACAGAAAACCAGTTTACTAAACCAGTATACAGTTTAAACACCACCAGATGCAGCCAGCTCAGAGCATGCAAAACTGAGGTAGGTGCCGCATGCAGGACAAAGAGCACACTGAGTAAAGTGGACAGTTTCTTTCCTCTCTACAGTTACCTTTGTGTTGGTTGTTCGATCAGCTGTGTATTTGTATTTGGCACATGTGTACGTGGGTTTGGATGGTATTTGTTTTTCCAGATTTATCATTAAACCTTTTCATAGAAGAACTTGTTTGGGCAGTGAGCGAGCTGCGCAAAGGTTTAAAATTCTGTCGCGCTAACCCGACTTCTATCTCACCACCTCACGAGTGCCATGCTGTCATCGTGATTTTTGGTTTTTTTGCCTGCTTGTAGATTGAATGAATAGTTGAACTTCTCTAGAGAAAAAAACAAGTTACTGCAATGCAGAATATGCAATGTTCAAAGTTTTGTAGGGACTGAGGGGTATTGGACACATTTGCATGCTGATGAGGGTTGTTACGGATTTCAATGTTTTTGATATTGGATTATTTGTTTTGTTTTTTTATTATTTGCCTTTTTATGAGTGTTGATCTGCTCAATTGCTATTCATTAATATCACAGGCACAACTTCAGTATGAGACTATCAGTGTATGAGTTCTGCATGCCGACTTTACTGGTGTTTAATCTTACAAATGGCAGCCAGTGCACCACTGTACAGCACAAGCTCCCCACAAGAAGTTAACATCCATATGCTACTCTGCTATATCAGTAATTATCACAGATCTCTACAGTACTGTTTGAGCCTACTGACACGCAGTTATACTCTTATTTCTGATCCCCCCTTACTGACTTCCTGTGATCCAGTGTCTGTTTTGTGTATGTTTTTCACATTGTACAAAACTTAAAAAAAAAATAAAAGAAATCAGGTAAAAGGCACGTTTATGTGTGTTTGTCAAAAATTAGATCATGGTTAGTTTTTGTTATGTTTGATGATTTTGTTTTGTTTTTGAACAAAGTCTTAATTTTTCAACATGAACAAAAGGCTACATTCTAAAGATAATTAAGAAGTTATGTATCAAAAGTATCATTTATTTGTTTTATCTGAAATTAAATTTCACTTTTTCAAATAAATCTGGCAGGATTCCCAGTTTGGTTATGTTTTTATTTTTTAACAAAATCAGAAAACATGTATCCAGATGTATATAAAGCAGCAATTCTTTACAATTTCAAATGTACAAAGTGAAGTAAAAGCAAAATAGTGGCTGGATGTCAGGTGTCCAGCCTGCGTTTTTTCATGAACTGTCCTTGTCTGTACGGACTCGAGGCTTCACCTGAAAATTGGAGAAGTAGTAGTGAGTTTCAGACAGTGAATGAGCTTCAGTGCTAAATTCTGACTGATCTGACTCACCTGGTCTGCCCTGATACTGGTTCTGCTGCTGAGGTCTGTACTGAGCCTGCTCCCGTCCTCTGCTGTTCGGCGGGGCCTCTGGTCGCCTATCCGCGGTCCTCTGAGGGGTTTTACTGCGCGTCTGCATCTGATGATTCCCAGGCGTACTGGGCCGGGTTCCTCTGGGTGAAGGGGCAGCCGCAGGGACATCCAGATCCTCAATCCCATAAAGAGTGAAATCCCAGAGCTCAGGGTCATCTGCACAGCAAGACCAACTGGAAATGAGATGCAGGCCTCCTCATCACACAGTCCAAGTATGTGGAGCCTTTACAGCACCTGCTAAATACACGTCTCTGCTGCTGGTGGACTTCCTGAGTTCAGCTTCAGCACCTGCGAAGATAGGAACCCCTTTTTCAGAGTAGAAATCTACCCCAAACCTCAGTGTTGCTGTATTACTTTTAATCTCTCCCCTGTAATAAAGTGTAAAAACCGATTAGCGCATTTTACTAGTCTATAATCACTCTATACCAAGGTTATTAGAGTTAAATAACTACAACTAAAAACTGAAACCAACTAAAACTACAAACTAGACTTAAAAAGGAAATTAAAATTCATAATCGTAAATCCTGCCTCTGACATATACCCTCCATACAATAATCACAACATAACAATAAAAACTAAACCGATAAAAGAAAATCAAAATATTCTCTCTACTTTCACTGGATCCTTGTCCTATAGTGACCTCTTCCTCCTCAGATTTGGCTCGGTCTTGCTTCTGCTGCAGCTTCTTGGCCTCCATCTCTCTCCTGAACTTCTGCTGAAGCTGCTGCTGTCGGAGTTTTCTCAGCTGTTTGGGGTCTGTGTGTGTTTCTGACCTGACAACAACATCCACAGAGTTGACACCAGAGCTTAGAAGAGGACGGCAATTAGGAGATGTCGAGAAGATGAGGAAAACCAGAGCTTTTCCTACCCGGAGCTGATGTTCTCACTCTTCATGCCAGGTGTAGCGTCGGCAGCATTGGGAGTGTGAACTTCTGAATGACTCTGGTTCTGGTTGATGACTCTGGGCTCCAGCGGCGTCCTGACAGGAACCGGTGCTGATATAAGACTCTCCTCTCGGAGCAGACTGCCAAGCCGGGCCTTCTCCACCGACGGCTCACCTTCAGTACGCTTAGTCCGGGCTGGATCTAGAGGAGGTGGCGGCTTTGTGTAGAGAAGTGACAAGAATCAGCTTCCAAAAACCGACTAGACTGAAAACTAAAAATGATACTTTAAATGTTGATCCTGACCTGCTTGGGGATCTTGTTAATGGCTAGGAGGTATTCTTTATTCAGGATGCAGTTACCAAGAGCATTACCAAAACATCTAAACATAGGAAAAAGAAAAACAAACTTTTTAATGATTAAAATAAAATAATATTTCCAGCATGTTTTTAAATATAAGTAAATTCCCATACTTCAGAGCTCTCTTCATGCCATCAGTGACCGCTTCCTTCCTCGCCTTTTCCAGTGACAGAGCTTTCGACTTTAGTCCTTCGCTGACTCCGTAGCCAACATCCTCATGAAACGATCCATCCTGGAGGAAAAGCAACATGAACTCATATGGATGGAAGAGAGGGAGGCAGAAAAATAAAAGAGGCTCATTTACCCAACCTTGAGCTGCACTTTAACAAACGCGCTGACGCCGACGTAAAACTTCCCATTGATGAGGTCTACGAAATCTGCCAACAAAAATCATCAAACTGTTAGTCTGAGCGTGAGAAGGTAAACCTTGATCCTAAGCTGTGAAACGAGTCATACCAACGTTCTGCTGGGAAATGGAGTGAGACCATCCGTTGTATCCAAACATCTCATTGGCCAAGCTGATGACACGATGGCCTTCAATGTAGCATACCTGTTGAAATCAGAGTAGCTATTTGAAGTTGAAAAATGAAATTATGACATGTTATAGTGAAGAAACATCCCTAGTCTGAGGTGCAGGCAGCTTTTCTAGCTGCAGAGGAAAACAAAGACCTGCCTTCTGTCCTCCTCCGGCCATTCTGGTGCTGATGTACTCCGGTCCCAGCTTCTGTCGCAGAGCATCTTGCACCGCCTGGTACTCCTCAGCTGTGTAGGTAAACTGTCCACACACCCCAGTGTCAGCAAGGCACACAGCGGAAACACCATTAATAATGAAAACAAGCTTACATTGTTGTCACATTTGTATGGCCTGAGTGAAACTGGCTGGCAGTTATTATCCTCTGGAGGTGCAGGAAGCTAGGTTTACACTAATAACATAAAGAGTGATTCATCACTGATGCTTTGTGTTCTACTTCATTTCAGACATTAAAAAGCCACCGAGAGTACAAGCTGTTCTCGGCAGCCTTTGGGCCTTCCAGGAAGGTCAGCAAATCCTTTCAACTTAATATGGAAGTGCAGGTTACAGGCGAAATCCAAGGTTGTTAATATTAAAATAAAACTGAACTAAAGGTGGAAGTTAAAAAATTATTTTAGTTACATTAACCTAAGACCCGAACTATTTCATGGCATGCAATTTTAATTTCTCTTCGCTATTTGGGCTGATTGGGACCTGATGAATGTAAAGACAAAGAATTACCAGATTTTTTTTTTTACCTGATTTTTGTTTCTAACAAAAATGATATCCACTAATGAGGATATTCGTATAACATTTCGATCGAACAGCAACAGTATAATGTCCTCGTAAAGGGATATCAGGCCCCTGTAGAGCAAAATTGAGTATTTTGGTCTAAATAACCCAAAATGTGATGTCCACATATGTGGACGCCAGGTCCTAGGAGGTTAAAGAAAATATAATAAAATAGAAAGACTTCTGCAAAAACAGACATGCCAGCAAGATCAACAAACTAATCCATAAGACTGGATCAATTATTGCCCAGAATCTGAAGGCATGTGAATCAGTGAGAGACCGGAGGTCTCTGAGCAAACCTCTCCATCATCGGCAACCCATCGAACACGCTCCACTCTATTGCACAGACACAGGAGAGCTTCTCCTCCCTCAGACTTATTAGGATTCCTCACACACTTCTGTATTATGGCTTCCTGCTCCTCTTTCCTTTGTTTTCCTCTTTAAATGTATTCTTTAATTTCAATCACTGTTGTAAATATTTTTAAAATTGCACTTCCTCAATTTATAAGGCAGGCGAGTCAAAAATTTGGCAAAGACTCCATTTCAGGGCATAAATTTTGGAATTATTACGATATTTTCATGCGTTTGAAAAAAATGTTCCCACTGATTAAAATCTCCCCTACCGCCATTCATATCACATCAGAGTAACTAAGCAATAGAAAAGCATTTAAATGACAGAAAACTATTTTTTCACCATCTACTAAAGAAACCAGGCATTTTCTGTGAATTAAAACTTTGTTTTATCGTCTTGATGCATGCTCAATCATCCAGGTAAGTAAATCCCCAAAAGTCGATTCTGTTCATCTGGACATAGACTGAAGAAGTCACTTGGATGAATGACGAAACGTTTCTCCCACTGAAAGCGCTACATCCAGATGAACTGAATCAACTTTTGGGGGTTTCTGTTTTATCACTACAGGAGAGTCTAGGCAGTGAGCTACTGGACCATTTTATCTAATTTTGCACATTTATTTCTTACAATTTGAGAGTCGGGCTGACAGCATCTTCTTTATGATGTAGAAAAACTGAGACACACTGTTGAAATTGCATTTCTTCTTCTTATATTAAGATCGCCCAGTGATTAAATGTGTAGTTGAAGTCCTTTACAATAATAGAGAGGAGTGTTTCACTGCTCCAGCCCTCTTTATATCAAAGTGCGCCCATAGAGAGGAGTGGCAGTGATTTTTAACAGAAGAATAGCAGCAAGAATGAAGAGTAAGGTTTAGAAGATGGTCGTGAGAACTGCTACGATGTTTAGTTTGGAGAAGGTGAACTGACAAAAAAGACAGGAGGTGTGACTGGAGCTGACAGAGGTGAAGGTGCTCAAATTTTCATTGGGGTTGAGCAAGAATAGACAGGATTAGAAATGAGTACATCAGAGCGACATCTCAGGTTAGAAACGGTTTGACGTGTGCAGAGGACGGATGGTGGATATATTGGACCAAGGATGCTGAAGATGGAGTTTCCAGACAAAAGAGGAAAGACCATAGCGGGGGGTTTAGGGTGTATAGGACCGGAAGAAAAATAAAAACTAAACTTTCAAAAGAAATTACAAACTTTGTAGAAAATACAAAACTATGATACTCTACTACATAAATAAACTCGGTCCCCTCTAGTGTCCAGTCACAGACATTCAGACTGACACACATTGTGCTTCAACCCGTTTCAATCAAAACTTTATCAGCAGTGGGACTGGAAGCAAAAACTGGTGTGCTTTATCATTCTAATTTAACTCAACACACCTGTGTCCAATTTAGAATAATTAGCTTTTGAGAAGTCTCATGGAGCCCACATACCTGTCCGAAGCACCTGGACGCAGAGCTGCTCTTCTCCTCACTGGACATGACTGCCGAGATGTTCTTCAGTCACTGGAAAAACAGGCTAAGCTGGCTTCACTTATCGATAAAACAACACGAGATGAGCCTGACACCCGATAGAAGTCAGTGCATACAAACTAGCCGGTTACAGTCCCTCTAAACTGCCTTCTGTGTTGAATGAGCAACAGAAAACACGAATATTATTTCAAAGAGGCAGCCATCTTTCTGAACTTCCCGCTCGGACTACCGGAGGAGGAGCTTATGGTGCCTTCACGCCTATTGGAAAATAAACAAGTAACTGAAATCTAGGGGTTACTGGGTTTACATGCAAAATTTAATTATTAACTTATATCTTTTAAAGGCAGAATCAACTATTTAATTTTTATTTTATTTATGATAGTTTAAAAAAAATATACATCCACTGAAACATAAATGATGCGCCATGAAAGTCATATTTCCTCTCAGAGGGCTAGATATAGAAAATGACGAGGTGGGCTTAAATGCATATTTCATTGTAAATATCTAATAATATTTATGTTTGAGTATGCCCCATCTAATGACTGGAACTGGTGTGCAGAAGAGACGAAGGCAGGTGATACTACCCGTAGGGTGTGGCTAGAGGCACATTCTTTGACCTCACATCCTCAGGTCAAGGTCTCTACAGACACTGGTTTTGAGTTCCTTAATTAATCTTTGAAATCATTATATTCCTTATTCCATGATAAAACAGTGTTTGCAACACGAGGTTATTAGAGGGGAGACTTTTCACTGCTTTTGATATGATCTTTTACGCTGGCCCTTGTCTGGTTTGTGTGCCTTGTGGACTGTTTATCTGTAATGATTCCAAGCTTTAAAATAAATAATCAAATGACTACAATAGCACTGTAGGGAAAACAGCTTTATAATAAAATAAAAAACATAATGCAAGCTTCAGAACTCAATCGGCTATCATGGACACACAAAGCCTGCATATAACAGCATGCAAACCGCATGCAAGCGGTTAAACAGGTTTGGATTCTGCACACAGGGAACATTTTCCGTTCGCCAAACCTCTATTTCAACAAGCTCTGATCCACAGACACTAAAGTGACCTCAGAGGAGATTTGCAAAAGAATGTAAGTAGCTATGAGAGATTTGATTAATGCAGTTAAAATTTTAACAGAAGCTAAAGGTTTTGCATTTGTTGTTTAGTCTTCCTTGTGCAGTTAATTAAATATCTGCAAGAGCTCTAGATCTCTACCTGTTTTCCCTGTTTTAGCTGGAATAGCAGGCTGATCAGGCTGGTGTGTGTTTGCACTAAATCTCGTGGGATTGTATGGGACAATACAATCTCCCTTTTATTAACAATCTGAGCTAAACGCACCGTGTTATAAGTTATAACGCACCTCTTTGATCCAACAAGAGCCATTTTCTGTCACATGTATAGGAGTGCCAGGATTTTTGCACTGCAGACAGAAAACAAAATTTATTCCTTACAGTTTCCCACAAGACTGCCCCCACACCCCCACCCTTAATTTTTTTTAACATCTCATCCACGGAAAAGGGGATTATCCGGAGAACACACGCATCTGCACTCACAGATGGTAAGGCTCCCCCTGTGTGAAACTGCGTGGATTTGGGTCAGAGCTGGAAACTGTGTTTACTATCTTCTGTTTATGGCCATATTGCAAAGCAAGGCCTTTCTCACCACTGACTGCACACCTGTGCACTGCAGTGTTAGCACACTGTTTGCGTATTAGTGTTCCCCCGGTTTGTGTGTTAATCCTTACAGTCTTCGTCTTAATAATAATAAAATCATCCCTCCGGAATTAAACTCTGCCATTATTCTTGTTTCCCATTGGAGTTATCCCCTCCCGCTTACATACAGCTATAACCACGGACGCACGTGCACGTGCTGCTCGTGGCCGCGTCCACGCGTCCAGGTTTCGCGTTTGCATCTCGTCAAAACAAAGCGGGGGCGAGCCGGAGCGAGCAAGCGGCGGTTCTTGCTTCTGGCTTCTTACTGAATGAGTCCCCGCAGGTCGGACCTTTCCACCGCACCCCGATGCCCGTGAGGGTGCGCAGACCGGCGGGTAACAGAACAGGAGGCAGCCGCTGATGAACCCGGACAGTAAACACTTCCCCTCAGCACTACATGACCGTTTCATCCCAGCAGGAGCTACACGACAGGATCAGGAACGGTGAGTGCGGGCTACAGTGGGCGGGCAGAGGCGCATGACATACGGCAACTTTGTGGCCATTATGATACAGTTTTTATCCAAAGGTGGACCAAATGCAGCATCTGCATGTGTTCGTTACACGGTGGCTTTGTTTACTGGGGCACTTTGCTTCATTGTGTTCTGCGCACAGGTTTTTAAAAACATAAAACATCCACGTACGCACGACTGGCGGTGCATTCCTCCCAGTAGGATAAACGTGGACTGTTGATTGCGTGTCTGGCCGATTCAATGGCCGTATGATGTGGAATGGCTCAGCTCGGAAGCACGGGGAGAGATCCATACAGCAGAAAATAAATTTATGTTCATACCGATAATTTTTCTGAATTTTTTAAAGAGGCATCGATCTTATTGGAATCGCCCCTAAAAGACAAGCCAAGGAGGAGGAGGGGTGAACAAAAGCAGAAATGCCCAGACTGGCGTGGAATGGCATTCCGGGTAGACAGTGAGCAGCCAGCGCTGCTGACTCAGATGTGATCTTACTCTAATTAAACTGCACGGCCGGTTCTTCTGAAAACACACGAGGCACCCCCCTCTCTTTGTGCTTTACATGTTGAGGCTAGTGTTGGCTCTTTTGTCTGTAGAGTGACAACCCAGACTGCTGTTCTCCCCTCTGACCAGGGGATGGTGCTTTACTTTGTACAGTACGTTTCTATAGGGAGACACCCAAACTGAGAGCAACTGTAACGCTTTTACAGGAATAACTGGCGCAGACTGATGCGTGTACACACATGCACTTCTCTTTTCTCTTTCCTCTGATGTAATGCGTGTGCAAACCCTGGAGGTCAGCCCAGCTTTGATTGCAAAACACTCCTCTGTGGTTTTGAACTGACAGTCAGGTAGAGAATAAAGAAAGAGAAAGCGCTCATTGTGAGGAAGTCTCAGATGTGGGGTTTGATTTTTATCCTGTGCCCCTTTGACCGTGAATTTCGCTTTACTGTGTTGTGTCTCTTATACCGCTTTAATGTTCCCTGCTTGACTTGCTCTCTCAAAGTAAAGGGCGGAGATGGCTCATGACTGCACTTGAGACATTTCTCATCGATGCCTCACACAGCTCCTTGATCCAATTTTAATCCCTCCTGCTAGCTTTTGTTGACATTTCCACTTTTACGCAAACTTCAGATGCTTGATGGACTGCGGCGGAGGCACGCCTCCCGGCCCTCCCCTCGACCCCTGTCGCTCAACTTCAGCACCTTCTCGCCCCCTCCTCCGAGCCCGGATTTGGACAGCAGCAATGAGCATCCAATCAGGAGGTGAGTCTCAGTTCCTGGGCTTAGCATTTCACAGCGTGCAGCCTCCTGGAAAATGCATGAAATATTTATAAGCATTTACAAAAAGAAAAAAGAAATCACACCATGTCTGTCCCAGAAGATTTCATTAACCAGCTGAAACACATGCTGGTCTAATGGTAATGATGTCCTGGTGGGATGTTTAATTGACTCATTTCCTCATGTATGGGCACCTCATTCGTTTGTGCACTCTGCTTTCCATGTTTTCTGTCTTCATGTGTGTGGGTGTGAAAGGGGGGGCTCTGTTGTTTACTGCTGTGTTGTCAGCAGAGAGTTTCAGGACTGCGTGGGTTTGAACTCATCATTTCTTCTTTTTCACCAGGTCCTCCTAAAAATATGCAAACAGTGTTTTCTGTCTCTCTCTCTTTTTAAAAACTTTTAGGATATTTTAGATTGATGAATGTGTTAAAACATGCACTTAAATTTTAGGTATACGCGAATTACATTACATTTTGGGAATTGTGCCTCTTAAGGGGGGGGGGGTCACCCAGAGCTGGTACTTCTGACAGCATTACAAGATGGAAACATCAGTGTTTCCCTTCACTGAGCTGTAATCTTAATGTGCAGCACACGTGCTTCCTTTGCTGGCAGGTGTAGTTCCTACATGAAACTGCTCACACTGAGGTTTGTGGATTTTTTTTGAGGGTGGTAACAGATGATTTCTAAATTAGAGACGCCAAAACCTTCAGTTGTGCAGAGAAGTTTACAAACACTCATCATGGACACGAATGTCACAGTAATTTTAGAATTTTAATTTCTTTGAACTTTTTCTAGGTTGGAATGATACACCATACATCTTTAAGGACTATTTTCTCTAAGGCATAAAGTATACATACACACTCAAATACATGTATACTCCCTCACTAATATTTGATTAAATGTCTCTTAACAAGTTGCACCTTGACCAGATGCTTTTGGTATCTGTCAACAAGCTTCTGGCATAACAATGCCTGGATGTTAGATCACTCTTCTTAGCAGAATTCGTATAGTTCATTTAAACTGGTTCATATAAACTACCACTGCCAGTACCACTGGCAGCAAACCAACCCCGCAGCATGATGCTATCACCACCATGCTTGACAGCTATTTCTGTGTTCTTAGGTTTGAAAACTTAAGCTTTACTCCTCCAAATATGTAATCATAACAACTAACAGGAAGTTAACAGGCCTTGGCTTTTTTTTAAAGTTAAAAAACACTGTAGAACCTTTAGCACCACTTATTAAAAATTTAAGGGAATATATGTAGATTTCTGACCCTGATTAGAAAAAAATCCAAAATAAGTTTAAACTTGTAAATGCATTCCTTGTTTTTTGATAAGATGCAATCACCCCCCCC